TGATAAATTAAAGACAAACCTGCGTAGTTGATGGATTGGGTAATTGATCGAAAAGACAGAGAAGATCTGTGAAAGTAGAGAAGAGGAGGTCTTTACTTAGGCGCGTTGCTTTTATAATCGAACCAAGCTACTTCTTTTCTTCACGGTGTTGTTGCGAACATTGACTTCATAGGCGTCCGAGCACTAATCGGCGTAAAAACGGTGTCGGTTTTGCGTTCATGTTCGGAATTCCGAATTCTAAACAGATTTTTTAAATTCGGAAAATATGGATTTTTGGTGCCCCGTCAAAACTATTTTCTTTTTTCTTTTCCAAACCCACTAAACTTTGGACTATTTATCAATTAATGTTATACATTTTGCATTTTCATAAGGTAACCTCATATATAAATTTAACAATATTCTTAATCAAATATTTTAATTAATTTTAATAAATTTATAAAAGATATTGATAGAAATAAAGTGTTTTGATCGTTACTCATTGTGATAAGTTTGTACAATTTATTATGTCTTGATTCATTTACGCAATAATATAAAATAAAAATATTTATATATTTTTTAATTTCAAATTATCTAATATGAGCATATATTTTACAATGTATAATATATTTTCTTATAGTACTTTCGCTAGTTATCGATGTTAGTAACAACAGTTTTGACAAATTTATTATATAAATCTATAAAAAATATATTATTATAATTATATATTTTAATAATTACGTTATTAATAAAATGCAACTATTGGGTTTTATCATAAATGTTGCTAACTCTTAATATAAATAACAAGTAAAATGTTAAGGATAAAATAATTCTATAACAAGATTATAATAATGAGACTTAAAATACATCTTTTTATAAAAATTTATGATTAAAAAAAAAAAGTTAACATCACTTGAACAATATCAAATTAGATAAGATTAATATATTATGTATATTTGTATAATGGGTATCATGATATTTATATAGGTTTTCACTAAAAAAACAAAATTCAATGTATTGGCTTGAATATATAAATTATTATACAAACTCATGTAGGAGATATATCCTCAACTCATATGATTTTACAGTTGTTGATTTACTAGAATGATTAGTAATTTTAATACTTAATATTAGCAATTATTCAAACTTATTAAATTTTGTGAGTGGTCTCTTGCTTAATAATAAAAAGATTATGTAAATTTTAAAACAAATGTGATAAAGTAAATTTATTCTTCTGTATTATGATTATGTAATATAATTTTTATTGGGGTGGATAATGAAATGTTTTATTTAATATGATCATATAAATGTTAAAGGTTAATTAGTGAAATTAATTAAGTTTATATAATAAGCTTGATTAAAGAGTTTATTGAACAAGTAAGTAAAATTATAATCTAAAGAGTTTAATCAAATAGTTTACATTCTAAATAAAGTAATGGAAATTAATTATTTTATCAGATTTTTGAACTATTTATTTATTTATTTTAAAACAACAATTATCATTAATTATTAAAACAATACACCGTAAGTAGAAGGCAACTTCTCCCATACATGCAAACTGGAAAAATAAAAAGCTTCATTCGCGAGCCGATGCACCACAACATTACCATATCTTCTAATCCAATTTACGAAAGTGTTCGGTCTTAAGGCCAACATCTTCCTATAGTCTTCCCCGATGAAATTGTATTTGGAGTTGTCTGTAGAGCGGGATGTGATGGCGGTCATTACATTATGAGCATCCTTCTTCAGAATGCTCGGCCCATTGAGGTTTTTTGATATAAATTGAAGTGCACTTCTGCAACCCATTAGCTCAGCAAGATATGGCGATCGATATGCCAATATTCTACCAGTTGAAGCCTTCAGTACTTTTCCTTCTTAGTCTCAAAAAATAGCCCTGAAACTCGCCTCTGAGATATATGCTCATTGATCGCCCCATCCACATTGCATTTCCTTGTGCCAGTAGCAGGAGATTACCACTGAGCCGACCCATTTGACATATGTTCTTGATTTATATTACCCCTGGCCCTGATCTCTCGTGCTTGTCTCTATTCCTTTAAATATTTTTGCATTATCCAAATTGATGACCAATCTGCAAAATATTTATCCGTTTCGGACGAGCTCATTGTGTTCTAACCGAATAGGCCCTAAACAGCACAATATCTCTTCAAACACTTCTTTTGATTTCGCCTTAGCCTGGGATAGAAGCCATCCAGCGAGGTCATGCCTCTGAACTACCTGTAATTGAACACCAAAAATTTGCCAATATTGAGTTGTTTTTTTTGCACTCGAAGAAGGATGTTGTATGGTCTCCTCCTTACCGTAGCGTGGGCATGAACTGTCAAGTGTAATTATTTTTTGTCCTTAAACGAACTTTAACCGGCAGAGTATCATTTAACAATCTCCAAGCAAAGTTTTGTACTTTGGGCGAGACTTTAGTTTTCTAAATTATTCTCCAGACATTATATTGTTCAGTTGATCGACTTGAGTGTAAACCCCTTAAATAACGATGTGCAAATTTAATTGTACATTGACCATCTTTGGAAAAAGCCTAAATGAGTCTGTCTTCTCTTCTGTTTATACTTAATGGGATACAACGGATAAGTGCAGCTTCTTCCTCCCTAAATAACCCATTAAGCACGTCGATATCCTAGTGTAGTCGTCCCTCATCCATGATATCACAGACTAACAAATCCTCAAGGCCATCCACATATATACTTCGAACATAGAAATCTTATTCCCTAGATAACCACAGATCTTTCCATACTCTCACTTTCTCGCCTGATCTAACAACCCTCCGTAAGCCACTGCTCAACAAATCCCTAGCCATGAATAAACTCCTCCAAGTGAAACTCGGGTTAGAGCCCAACCTAGCAGTTAAAAAGTGGCCACCTGAAAAATATATTGCTTTTAGGGTGTGTGATAATAACAAGTTCGGGTTATTAAGTAGCCGTCAGCATTGTTTACCAAACATGGGAAGATTTAAGCTTTGTAGGTATTGGAAGCCCATCCAGCCTTTGTCCTTGCTTCAACACAAAGAATCCTATGACAACCAATGGATACTTCTCTCACAATTCCTCTTCGAACCCCATCAGAAGCTGTTCATCATCCCGTGGAGTTCATCACATAGAAGCGAGAGGATATAAAACACACTCTTACAGAATATCGGGAGCGTTTGTGTCACTATTTTGAGTAGGATCTCCTTCCCTGTTTCAGATAGGAACCTAGTGTTCCACATTGTTAGTTGATTCCTGAGTATGTCTTTCAGAGACATAAATATTTTGCATTTACTCCGCCCATGGTAAATTAAGATACAATTATGCATTCCTAGTATGCTGTTCAGAAAAGTCGCGAGTTCTTGGGGAGTATTTAAACTGAAGTAGGTACCAGATTTCTGATAGTCAATCGCTTGGCCAAATGCCCTCTCATATAATTAGAGCATGTGTTTAATTTGATAGCATTATTTTGTGTTTACTTTGAAGAAAAAGAATTAATCGTCAGTGAATAATAGGGGGGTTATTCTAGGACTTTGGGGGCATATCCGGTGGCCGTGAATCTTTTAAGCCTCCTCAGCTTTCTGGAACAGGGCTGATAATCCTTCAACACACAAAATAAATAAAGAGATAGGGGATCGCCTTGCTGAAGACCCTTGTGTGGAGTGATTGGCCCGATCTCCTCACCATTGAGTTGGCACCGTGTATTGGATAGAGGTTACACACATCATCATCAGGTGTACCCATTTCTGTTCAAAGCCAAATTTGAACAGGTTAGCTTCCAAATATTCCCATCTCACCGAGCATAAGTCTTACTTACGTCAATCTTTACAGCCATATCACATTTCTTCCTTCTTTTCACTGTTTTCATGCGATGTACAATATCAAATGTTAATAACACATTATCTATCATCAATTGACCCAGAACAAAAGCTGATTGGGTATCCTCGATGAGTTCCTGCAAAATCATTCTCATCCGGATAGTTAGTGTTTTTGAGAATATCTTATAGATTACACTGCATAAAAAGATTGATCTTATATCCTTAATCATTTCGGGGTTATCTTTCTTGGGTATCAGGACTATTTTGGTGTCATTAATCAGCTCAGGGAGGTTCCCCTGTTCAAACACCTTTTAACAACGAGATATAACTTCCCTCCCAATAACACTCCAAAATCTCTTAAGAAAGCTGGGTTCATCCCATCAGGTCCAAGCGACTTGTTGAGATGCATTTGAAAAGTCGTCACTTTAATTTCTTCAGCACTAAGAGGGGCTACCAGTTGCTTATTAGCCTATGTTCTGAATTTGTTAGTCACTTGACTGACCACGTCTTCATATTCCCCATCTGAGGCCTTGAAGAGTTATGTGAAATTTGGATTATATGCTCTTGCATGGCGGCCAAATCCCGTATCCACTCCTCATTCTCATCCTGCAAGGTCATGAGGTGATTTGTTTCTTTTAGGTTGTATGGCATGTCTATGAAAATACTTGGAGTTATGGTCTCTATGTTGCAGCCAAAATCTCTTCGCTCTTTGTTTCTAAAAGGCGTCTTCTTGTTCAAGGATTTGATATTCTCCATATCAGCTTCCCAGATTTCTGTTGGCTACTACTATCTCTAGATCTCCTTGTTGCCAATAACTGATTGTAGATTTTATTTTTTCTGTTAGCAAACTGAGTGACTTATGAGTGTCCCCATTCCTTCAGTGCTAACCCGCAACTTGTTATCTTCGACATAATGGTAGGGTCACTCTCATCTCTCCAGCTATCTGTAACAATATTCGTTACCTCCGGATTTAATAACCAAGCATTTTAAAATTTAAACTGAGTTGTTGCTTTTCTTACTTTGGAGGAAAGCGAGCTAACCAGAGATCATTCGTTGCGCATTTATCAATTCTTTCTCGAGTTATGTTGTTATCACTACCCCGCGATAAGATAAAATGATTCCCTATCAACAGCATGATCCAAAGTATCATGAAAACGTGATATAAGTGAAGTAAATGGAGATGCCCCCCCGCTCCCACACTAATCCTTATCAGTCTCAGAGGCTATATCATTAAATTCGTTGATAATCGCCTACGGTGCATTTCTGTTTGTTGCTAGTTGTCTCAAAATCTGCCATGTTTCCTATCTTCTGTGTCTGTTTAGGTGCCCATAATATCCCGTCAGTATCCATTCCCTTTCGGTTGGCTGTTGATCCTTAAATCCACATGGTTTAGTGAGTAAGATTGTATATGAACGTTGCATGTCGTCGACCAAAACACTGCCAAAACCCTGAAAACAGACTCAAATCCCAGTTATAACTTCACTGTTCAAGTTTCT